CAGTTGGTGAAAAAGCAAGTGGTGGCCCTCACTCAATGGCTGGGGCTACAGGAGGTGCTGGTATGGCTGGGTTGTGTTGGAATGGAATTTGCTCTGTAAACTTTCACCCAAATCAGAATTAAAAAAAAAAAAAAAAAAGGAATGGAATAAACAATAAGAAAAATTTTCAAATTTTTTTTTAAAAAAACAATAAAAGAAAGATAATGAGAAAAAGAGAAAAGAAAAAGTGCCACAATATCTGGGGAAGGAAGAAAGAGAGAAAAGAGTAATAGTAAACGAAAAGTAAAGAAAAAAATGGGAAAACTGCAAAAGGAAAAACAAGGGATGAGAAGAACAAAAAGAAAGAAAGAAAAAGAAAGGGAACCAGAAAAAGGGAAGAAAAAAAAGAAGAAAAACACCAGGGGCACAAAAGAGAGGGGGTCGGAGGGAAGGGAAGAAAGGAAGAAAATAAAAACAATAATTTAAAAACAATCAAAAACAAAACTGTAGGAGGTGGGGCATGACACCCAGGCTCTGTCAGGGCAGAGACCAGGATGGAATTTCTGCTGGTCAAGAAGGTAGGTGGAGGCGGGGGTGGCCACACCTCTGTCACCAAGTGTGTGTGGGGTGTAAGAGTAGCAAGGGGAATATCTTACCTTTCCAGACTTCAGTCTCTAGTGCAGCTGCTCATACTGCCCTCAGAAAGTGGAGCCCACTATTCTGACACCACCCAGGTAAGAATGCCACTTGCATATGTTCAAAACGGTTGCGCCCTCAGGACAAGCCACTGGCAGCCCACAAGTCTCTTTGTCTCTTTCTTCACTCTTTTCCTTTCTGGTTGTCAAGCAGTTCTTGCCCATGCAGTCTTTAGTGAGCATAGCCAATTCTTAGATTGCTGCTGGTATATAATCAAAATGGCTGTGCCCTCAGGACAGCTGGTAGTTTATAGCTCCATTTGTCTCCTTACTCAACTGTTTTCATTCAGGTTCTTCTACTAGTTGGTATTTAATCCTCTTCTATATCCTTGCCTTCAATGCTCAGGGTTCTAGGATTGTCTTCTGTATTGGTTTCAAGTGGTTTCTCACTGCTTTGTTGCAGAGGGTCTGTGTAGCTTGTCTGCTTATTCTGCCATCTTGCTGGAACTCAGAAGCTGTATTTTTAACATGCTCCCTACATGGCTCTGATATACTCCAGAGTTTGAAAACCATTACTGTAGGTATGGAGAAGCCCTAGTGATACGGTGGTTAAAGTGCTTGGCTGCCTGCCATAAGGTTGCTGGTTTGAACCCACTAGTTGCTTTCTCTATGGTAAAAAGATGTGGTGGTCTGCTTCCATAAAGATTAGTCTTGGAAACCCTACGGGCAGTTCTTCTCTGTCCTATAGGATCACCACGAGTAGGTATCGACACAATAGCAATGGCACTGTGGGCACTGAGCAAGCATTAAGTAGTAAATCACTGATATCAAGAGGAAATGAAGACTCATGCTCACCTAACCAATAGTTTTTATTGCATGCCCTAGAAATTCTCTGAAAATAGATTCTGTATGTTAAGATCTGTACATGTATACACGTGTAAAACCTTACCACAGAAGGAGCCAGTCCTTTTGAATTCTGTTTCTTCTTGGGTTTTGAAGGGGTTTGCTTATCTAAAGCATTGTGAGCTCCACTGATTTGATTCACTTGCCTATAAAACCCATCTGAAAAACATTCCAAGGAAATTGATTTTCAGAACTTTTGATCCCATGCAGAATGTAACATTTGTACATAGGACCTCAAAATAAAGTGACTTATGATTACATTAGTGAAATTAGAAACCAGAAAGGCCAGCTGTCCTGCATCTCCTGTGGTAAGATAATGTACAAAATGGAAGCAAACAGGGAGATGCATCACTGCTTTCTGCTTAATGGCATCATAGGGCAATGTCACTTAATTTAACACTTTAAAGCCAAAAACTAATTTAAATTTAAATACTGTAGGTAAATTGCATTATAAATCAGAATACAATATGAGGTACACAGGTGATGATAATACTTGAAACAGCCATTCAGATCTTGAGAATTACAAGAGTGACCAATAACGGGAGTTGGAGCCCCCTGGTAGTCATCAGATGAAAACATTAATCCTTCCATTCTAAATAATTAGGTGTGAGGTGACCTCATATTTGGCAAAATTAAAATAAAGACTACCTTTTTTGTTGCACCTTGTGTCCCAAACCATAATATTGCCATCTCTTCCACCTGTACAGAAGACCGCTGTAGAGAAATAAATAGTTCATAAGAAGGTTAACAAAACTTGTCAATGACAGATGCATTTCCATTTTAATTTCCTAGAGTATTTGTTGTGCGCTAGGTACTGTAATAGAACTACAGATTAAAAATGAGAAGCTATGTGGCCCCACAACAAAAAGAGAAAACAAAGCTGTTAAAGGTGGGGATTACAAAGACCTCAACACTATGTTCAATAAAAGCTATATTTATCTTACAATCTGTACTGTATATCCTTTGTAAAATTTTTAAACCATAAAAATACTATATAAAATAAAGATACAGTAAGAATAAGGATAAATAAGCAATAGTAAAAGTAAATTGAGGGCTTAAATTATGGTAGACACTATATAACTGCTTTACACACACTACCTCAAACTTTGTCAACCTGGATGGAGGTATTATTTTTCGGTCTTAAAAATGACAAAACTGAAGCATAGAGAGGATAAATAAATTGTCCAAACTATTTTTGACAGTATGAATAATACAAAGCTCATACTCTGAACCTCTGAGCTATATTGTTAAAAACACCACATTTCTGCCAACTGGTTGCTCCTGGGGATGGAAGGAGTGGAATGGGATTGGAGAGGAGAACATAGGGGGACTTCAGTTTTATCTGTAATGTTATGTTCTTTAAAATCAAACAAAAAAAGTTTTGCTTCCTGTATGGAAAAGTGAGCACTTAACAAACTGATCCTTTTTTTTTTAAAAATTTGTTATAAATTCTGGACAAAATGCAAAAAACAAAGTCCTATGTATTGTGTGTAAGCTAAAAAAAACCATGTAAAATAACAAATGCCGACAAGGTTATGGAGAGATTGGGACTCTCATACACTGCTGGTGGTACTGTAAAATGGTACAACCATTGTGGAAAGCAGTATGGCGATTTCTTCAAAAGTTGGAACTAGAAATACCATTTGAGCCAGCCATTCCATTACCAGGTATATATCCTAAAGAAGTGAGACCCAGGACAAGAACAGATATATGCACACCCATGTTCATCGCAGCACTATTTACAATAACCAAAAGATGGAAACAACCTAGGTTTCCATCAACTGAGGAATGGATATCCAAACTATGGTACATACACACAATGGAATACTATGCAATGCTAAAGAATAATGTAGAATCTGCAAAACACCGCATAACATGGATGAACTTGGA